TTTTTTATAGGTACCTATACGAATTATTTCTCGTTCACAATGCTTACGGTTTTCTATACGGTCGTATTATATTTTTTGAATGTTATTATTTTACAGTGTTCCAAAGTCGCACATCTCGAGGATTTTTTCAAACGAATTTTACCACGTTATATCGTACAACAAATCAAAAAAAAAAAAATAATAATAAAAAACTAGCTGCCCGATTTTATTTTTGTAATTCGAATGAAAAACAAAAACTCACCGTGCTGTGCGTATGAAATCCAACACTCGTTAAAAGTTTAATATGCAATCAAATAACCGAGTAGAACTTTATGATGCATAAAAATAAAACTATAAAAGCCGTCTCAAAAAAATAATTTTAAAATAACAAGCGGAAAATTACAGTTATTATATTGTTTAAAAAGAAATTTTTTCTATTGTCATCAAAGTGTTGAGTTGTGAAATTCGAGGTCAGCATTTGAAAAAAAAAGAAAAGACTATTGATGAGTGTATCATTGATTTAGAAGAGCAGTTGAAAGGGTATATAGAGCAATTTAATATTTAAATCTGTACGCAACGATAAACTACTGTTAACAAAAAACGATTCCGAGCAGAGTATTATTAGTCGTTTTTCATTCCGTTTCGCTAAGCCAACTCAGAAATCAACGAAAATTATACTATCAAGTACCGTTTATTAAGAAAACTACATGGATAATCAAAAAATGACTTTTCTGCAATACATTAACTAGATAGAAAAAAAAAAAAAAATAAATTATTCTTCGCACATTTTAGCGGTTATCTATTAGTGACAAAGACAAATAGAGGGAGACAGATTTTAGTTTATTAATTTTTTTTTTCGTTTTTTTTTTTTTCTAGAGATTTCTGACAAAATATCATAATATTATGCATACAAATTCGAATACGATATCGTTGTTGTCGAACACTCGATATTATCCGTTCGGCCGAGGTTAACACCACATAGTGTTATGGTTTATATCGCCGCACAGGAAACTCATTAACAGCCGTTTCAAACACGTTTCAGTAATTCAACGCGTTTCTAAATATTTCGCGTTTTAAAACAATAGTCAATAACAGCAGCGTATTTAACATGTAAACGGCCGTCGTCGTCGTCGAGTGGTTCGTACGTTTCGCGGTCGTATATGGAAGGTGTTCGTGTGTCCTTTAATTGAACGCCGTAGCTATTATACGTATGAGTCATTATATCGCAGTTTACTGCATACTGCTTCATTCATTTAATAAACGTTTATCGTCGTCGAGTTTACATCGTTTATCTTAATATAGTATACATTAATAACACGGTGTCGCGCGTCGACATTGATATCGAAACTGTCATGTTATATCTTTGATGTTTTACAATTTTTTTTTTTTATATCGTATACACGTATAATTTGATTTGAAACGTCGGTACGCTGTTGTCGCCGCGGATATTCTGCGCGTTCAAAACACGACGCCATATTCAACGATTATCGTAGGAGATGGCGTACGCCGTCCGTGTATAATCATTAGTCATACGTACTCGGACGTATCTATCGGTCTTCGGTTGTGTTTTAGTTACGAAAAAAAAAAAAACAAAACACCAAAATACCGAATATCGGTTTTAAAAAGGCGACAGAGAACATCGCGATTATTATATTATACCCTTTGGTAAATTTACGGAACAAATCTAAATTGTTTTTAGTTTTGTTGAAACGATATTATATCCGACGGGATACGTATTGTCGTTTTCGATTGACTGGTTGCCATTACGATCAACAATAATAAATATTGTAATACACGCGTATCTTTATTCGGGCACACTAATGATGGTCGAAATCGGCGGCGGCCGTCCTGTAACGGAGGCGCGCGCCACACATTCGGAAAATTAGTGGTGGGTCCGGGAGACGCGGTGCACATTTTCGTATATAGGAATATAGGGTTTAACGGTTTAAAAAAAATATTATCTCCATCAATCTTTAACCGTTATAGTATTCGTTTGTTTTTATTTCAACCCCGAATAGCATAAACATTAAATACATTTTATACATATTTACATTTTTTTTTTTTTAATTTACTACGGAACTCTAATCGCGTTACGGCACACGAGCGTTCTAGTTTTTATTTTCGAACGCGTTGATTATTCCATTTTGGACAGATGGTAAGTAACATCGATGAATATTGGCGAGGGCGGGTAACAGAAGCGTACAGGTATTGATTATTTATGTACGGGGCTCTGACAATAAATTATTCGTTATATAGGAGCGGGAGGATGGGGGACAGTGTCTTCAAGACACGATAGTAGAGCGAATTTCAATGACGGGAACGTCTGCCGTAAGCGGATAAAAGCCAAATCAAAAACGGTCATACACCTAAATGTGCAGAGCACAGTAATGTTCAAATGCGGCCAGAAGAAATAACGACCGGATGAAACATGTTTTACATTTTTTCCGTGGAGATTATTATTAACTGCGTTTATTATTCATTTGTTATCGTCATTGATTAGCGTCATGGATTTTTTTCAAAGCGCAATAAGCAATAATTAAACATATAATTTCCAATAATAGAACACTCTTCTATGACGCGGGCAAATATGGCCGCGGAAACGGTTCGATTCGTTTGCAAATTTTTCCTTTGGCCATTTTTCCCGTAGCCATTATGACCCGTGAAAAAGTACCTTTCACGTATAAATTTGTCCTACGTTTTTTTCTCGGTTTTTCCCGTTTAACCAGGAAAAATAATTTTGGAAAATCAAACAAATCGAACCGCTCCAGTCAGGTTTCCTTTCGGAACAAGCACCGCACTCGGTACGCCGGACGCGTAGATCTATGGCCGAAAAGTTGCGTTGGTCACAGAAAAAAAAAAAAATAAATAAACATCAACGTAAAAACCGATACGTTCCTCGGCTCCACGCGAGAATCGAAAATCGCCCGCACCCGCGCCGAACATGACGAGCGGCTGCGCGCCGCGTGCTCGTTTACGCGGGATTTCGAATATCGTTTTTCAATAATTTATTGGCGAGCGACCGAAAACCCGTTGTCGTCGGCCGAAACCGCACAGGTACACACGGCACGCACGTTTTGATCGATCGGCCGCCCGGAGTCTTTGACATTGGAAAGAAAGGAAGACGACAAAAAAAAAAAAGTAATAATAATAATAATAATAGAATCCGCGCGCCGTCCGTCCGGAGACGTGTGTTCTTCGGCCGTGTACGACGCGCGTGTATTTTATCATTGTTACCGTTGTCGTTAAAGGCGGACTGGTTTTCGGAACGTGACATTTTTGACGAAATGTGAATAATTCATTGTTGCGAACCGATTATACGACGCGCGCGTACCCGCGTATTACCTGCGGCGCGGGCAATGCAGTGTCGCGGCCACAGCGTGTAACGCGAACGAGGATTTTAAATTCCCTGTTCGTGTGCATTTATACGCACCTATTCAATACGGTACAAAACGATTTTGTAATAACACAATGATATCGTAACAACAGACGTGTAAACGGCTGCTAGACTGTAGGATGTAGAGCCGCCGCCGCCGCCGCCGCCGTATATAGCGGCGTGTAGTCCGAATAATTTGCGTTTCGTACCGAGGCGACGAACGAGGTTTTAATAATAAGGAGAATAAAGAAAAAAAGTGTACTACGGGGTGTACATAAAAGATCCGGACTTGACGTATCGTTTTTAATCATTTCGGTTTCACGGGAAGATACGTTTTTTCTTAATGAACCGTCGTCGTCGTCGTCCAACCGGAAACATTAAATTTTACGGTCGACGACGTAGCTCTCCCCTCCACCCCNCCCCCCCCCCCCCCCCCCCCCCCCCCGTTGTAGATACTCACGGTTTTCTTTTTCTTCTTTCGGTTTACACCCTCACTTACGCCGCCTTAAGTGCATCGGTCACCCTCGCCCCCTCCGCCCCGTAACTGACGCGCCCCCGTCGTATTTTATTGTTATTACAATAATAATATATAATATACATAGGCTGCGCGTCTGCGACGATAAGTTTCCCGAAATTTATAAGATTCTCGTACATAACCTATACCTATGTAATGCCATTTTAATACCCGGACTGACTGGCCGTATTACAGTGCGACTGTACAGTGGTTCTCAGCCGCTGATTGAAAAGCCAATGAAAAACACAAATGACGGACGTATATCGCACGTGGGCGGGCCACTGTTGTAGGTGAGAAGTTGGGCAGTTAGAGGGGAAATCGAATGCATATCTGTTCGCGAATATTAACCATCGATAACGAAAACCGATTCCTAGCGGAGTTCGGTTAACAGCGTGGTTTGGTCAACAATATATTTGTCAGTTTATGGTAAAATAATATTACATGCGCGTTATGTATATTTTTTTAATAATATTTATGTAGAATTATATCTACTTTCTCGTTTTTCCTAAGTTTTTTCCCCATTTATTATGAAAACAGCTGAGAAAATAAAAAAAAAATAACTCCTTTAAAGTACCACCCCAGGCAGATTTCTTTTCAGAAAACGGGCTATAATTGTAAACCGGAACAAAAATTGTTCACAGATAAAAAAAATAAACATCATTTTAAAACCAATACATTCCTGGCTCCCTCAAGAATCTAAAAAAATAGAAGAAATCTCACTGTCTCCCCTATAATTAGGTTTTTTTCTTCCTAAGAATACTATATAATTTGTAAAAAAAAAAATCCATTAATATTAACCATACTATTCATATAAAATTAGTTTTTTTTTTTTTTTTGAGTGCACTGTATTATTATTATTTTTTGGGAGGTGGCGTATAGTGAGGAAGAGTGACGAAGTGTATAATTTGGGCAGGGACAGCTTGGCAAATATAAGCAGTCAATTTTTCGGGGCCTCGAAAAGTTTTTGATTTGCTTTCTCACCGTCTATAATACCAGGTGTACGTAAATCTTTACTGGACAATTCATCGGGGTCCAATACTTTTATAATTTTTGAAATAATAAATTATTATCTGAAATGACGTGGATACTATGATTGTGTCTCGAAGGGGGAGTGTGATTCAAACACACAGTTGAGAACCACTGGCCCCATAAAAAATAAAAAAAAAATGAAAAATGAAACATCTTTCCCACGCCTACCATTTCTCCCCGTGTGAATAACGGTCGGTACACAAGAATCGGTGTGACATAAAAAAAAAAAAAAAAAAATCAAAAGTCTCTTGACGTTAAACCTACATTATTTAGTGGGCAATTAATTATTTCCGTCGTTTACTAATAAAATTGACTCTTCGTATAACTTGTACCTGGCTCGTATCGAATTGTAGCCGGGGAAAGATTAACATTATTCGTTCAACCGAGATCAGTTGACGTATTTTTACGTTCAAACGTTTATTTAACGAGAGGATTTTACTAACTTTTCGGCGATAAACTATTTTTGAATTTTATTGAATCTCGCAAACAATGCGCGACTCTCGTCCTCTGTGTTTCGATGACAACATATTTTGTTGCCGGGGAAGAAAGGCTATAAAACTGAATATTCGGCATGGTTTTCGAAAATTATTCGTTCGCTTTTATTCTCCGGTCTAAACGGTTTACGCGTATATCCTAACACACGCCATGCCTACTGAAAATTAAAATATTTCCAGTCACTGTGACGCCATTTTTGTTTGGAAACAAGGCAACCAGTCATGTAATTTTCGTATGCTCGAACCATATAAAAAAGCCATTGAGAGATATTAAGATATTAAGCAATTTACGCCGTCCAGGGCCGATTTTTTCCAATTGCTTTTAATCCATAGTTAGCAAGACTTAACTGACAGTTATCACTATGTCACTGTGTTAAACTGCTTATCGACTATCGGCTAAGGTAATTAGGAGTCTAAACTGCCGGTTAATTTTAGTCGATACTCTTATTTTCTGGCTATCCAAATTAGTTGAGCACTGTTAATTAATGAATGTTAATCAATGATTTCAATTGCGTTGAAATGGCCTGTGTAGTTATTCAGTGGAAATATAATGAACGTGTATGAAGTATGGATTTTTATCGATTTTAATAATATTCTGTTTGATGACGACGACCAAAAACTTGTCGAACGTGTCATTTATCAACGTGGACCCTATTGGGTTGTAAGATGTCGCGTCCGTCGTTTTAATAAACGGGACAGTTACGATTTTAAAATATGATTTCGTCTTTCTGAAGAGACAGTTATGGAAGTCTTAGATATAATAGAATAATCCATCATTTCAAATACCGACGATAGGCGCGTGCTATTAAGCAATAACTGAATAAGTAAACGGGTGCCGCTCAGTAGCTATCCCACTTTTGTTGGATCAGAATATGGATATTGTGTAAAAATATTTTTTTTAAATATGCATTCCGATGATACGAAATAATATTATATTGTGTTTAAACACTCGCGGACCACTGATCCGGCCGTTACAGTATGCTAATTCGATTTCTTCCTCGTCCTTCCGAGTTACTGCACTGTTATTTTTCAATACGTGTTTTGCGCACCGAGGATTATTCCAGTAATAGCCGTGTTTCTGCACAACTGAAATTTGTCGCAACTTTTTTCTTTTTAATATCACTGTTTCCTCCGACCTGCGGTTGGTTAGTTAAATGACAGTCAAAACGACAATTGAAAACCCGGCCCTTAGCAATTTACGTGATTGTATAATTTGGCAATAATTGTCAACGTTCCGGTACACTTGCTTGCGCTGAAAAGCTATAAAAAAACAAACTTACTACGGCCGAAACTTTCGACAAATACGCGCGCGCGTAGCGTTGTTATTTCCACTTTATTGCTGGGTATTATGTACGCGCGGCGGCGATTCCGGTTCCTTTATTTTTATTTTTTTTTTCTGAAACCCGCGCCCGGACACCCATAACTCGTGATTATATCGCGCCCAACACGCATTATAATAACACTGTACGGACTTGAATAAATCAAATAATATAACTTAATTGGTCCGTTAGATAGGACGCGATAGGAATCGAGCGAAAATGCCGACGCCGCGCAGTCGCCACCGCCGCCGCCGTTATGTGAATCGCTCGTTCAAAAAACCGTTGTCCGCAGTTTTACGTCAATTATTATTTTATACGCGTGCACCGAGAGTGTACGATGTATATATTTTTTTAACGACGTTTTAATGGACTCCAGTAAAACCGAATGGGGTGGGGGCCGCGGGAAAAGAATCAGCTTTTAAATTATTACAATAATAAGGACGGGAGTTTCGTAAACAATCGCACACCTACTGCGCAGTCCGACGAACGACAATAAGGCACGATTTTTTGTTGTCGTTTTTTTTTTCTTTCTATTTATAAATGACGTGCAGCAGCAATTTTTTTTTTTTTGTAAAGTAGTCGCTCGTGCCCGATTTCGTATAATATCATTACTACGGACGGATGGACGATAGGGATTTCGAAACACTAAAAGTAAATCTCTAAAATAAAAGAAATTGTGAGCATCGTTTTTTTTTTTTTTTATATACAGTTTGCAGTCCAGTACGCTAAAATCGATTAAAGCACTTCTTAAAAGAGATATTAAAAACCAAAACGGAAAAAAAAAATTATATCTGAAACATTGAAAAAAGTTCCTACAAAGTTTTAGATTGGACTAAGATTTTAGTTCAAAAAGTTGTTAACAGACAAAAAATAAACGGAAATACGTTTCTCGGTTCGTTCAAAATCTAAAATCACAAATCCGAAATGTGTCGACAAAAACGAAATAAAAAAATACGCATTAAAGTTTCCGCATTATTATTTCATTGTACGCCGATGATAGTGACTATCCTCGAAAAAAAAAAAAATATATATATATATGTTGATGAAGACCCGGGAAATAATAAAAAAAAAAAGAACCGTTGAAAAATCAACCCAGTAGTGTAATAAATTTAAAAAGGATGGACATACTTCGCACGTGGGTGCAGTCACTGTTGTAGGTGGGAAGTTGGGAAGGTAGGACACAGACGAGTATTGAAAGCGTATCTGTAAGCAACGATAGACTGTTACTAACCAAAGAATGATTCAGAGCGTAGTTCAGTTGATAGTGTTGCTTTATCAACAATACAATATATGGTATATGTCATATTATGATAAAATGATTAAAACAAAAAATAAATAAAAACGGTTGCCAATGGATGTTTTTCTTACTAACTCGAACATAATGAGAATTTCAAAAAATGATGTCTTTGAAGTACCACCAAGAGAAAATTTTCTCTCAGAAAAAGTGGTATACTTGATAATCAGAATATGTTAAGAAAGTGTTTGCATAAAAAAAAAAAATAAAACTAAATAAATCAACATCATTGTAATAACAAATACATTGTATGGGAGTGTTAGAATGCGGGATATGTAGAGCCGTTTGATTAGAAAACGATTATGAGCAGAGTACGTTATCAATAGTATTTTTTCCGTTGTTGTCAAAAGGTAACACGGAAATCGCCAAAAATTTGAGCGAAAATATCGCCAGTATTTGCCGTTTACTATGGAAAGTTGCAACTATAGGGAAACCGAAAAATTACTACCTCGAAATGCGCCGACTACATTAAAGACGCTTAAAAAACGTTGCTCCAAGCTGTTCGATTAGCCCCGGATTCCCGGTAGAGAACAGTCGTTTAGACACCGAAAAACCGAAAATAAACACCGTAGTAAAAACCCGCAGCGAACACATTGCTCGCTTCGTTCAGAATCTAAAACGCCTACGAAATACCGACCAGTCGTTACCGCATAAGGCGAATAGTTTCATTGTAATTCCGGTGACGTTTACGGATCGTTATTTAACAGAAAAACATAATTTGTTTGTAAAAAAAAAAACCGATATGTCCGGCTCTGTTTGCTATATTATTATTATTATTGCCGTTACGCGTGTTATCGCAATGCACTTCACGCGGACGAATATTAGTCACCGCGTTGTTTTTGTTTTTTTTTCCGTTTCCTACGATCATTTCGGCCGCCGTAAAGTCATACGCGTCGCGGAATTCCGGTCGGAACTCCGCGGTCGCCGTAGGAAGTCGTCGAGTACGGCGATTGGACGGTATTGTCATTCCGTTAGTCATTAGCCGTTATCAGTGTTAAACGGCCGCGAGCGCATTCGTTCGATTTCGAGGGACGGGGGTAACGGGGGGACGGGCGGACGGGGGAAGGGGGGCGGGGAAATTATGACGAGAGACGCGGCCGTGCCCGCCGTTCCGTCACGCGCGCGTCTAAATGACACATTTTGTAAATATTACGCAACCGCGCTCGGGTTACGCGTTCGATCGATCCTCGGACAATTTGTATTATCGTTACCGCCTACGCGTACGTCCGGAACGAACGCAAATATTATTGATTTTTTTTTCCACCGCCGTTATCGCAACGCGTTCACCTTTGTCGCGAAGAAACGAAAAAGAAATAAAAAAAAAAAAACAACGCCCGACACGTTTCGCACCGCGACCGCCAGTGGTAAGCCCGCGTGTTTCGCGACGGGGGACCGGGGGGTAATTGTGTGTATAGAGACGGCGGGTTGGTACGGGGACCGGCAGAGTATTTAGGATTTTGCCGAACGGGAGATTGATGCCTACTGCACGTGGAAACCGTGTGACAATCAGTGGCGCCCGACTAAACATTTTGTGCGTGGCAATAAACGTTAATTTACGCCCGTCCACCGCTACACGGTATTGAACCCGAGCCATGAAGGGGGCACGGGGCCACCACCCCCCCCCCACCACGCCGACTGTCAATTTTTCAAACTATAAAACGTAATTTTTTACAGAATTTAATTTTTTACCGAATAACGTTTAAACGTTCGCGTCATTTAATATTTTAATGTATTGAATAGGTACTTTGATTTTTTTAATTAGTATTAAAACTATTTACACGAACATCACGGAACATTCGACGCGGACGGGAATATATTTTTTCGACGTTTATTTGAAACTCTGAGCGCATCTAGTGGTTTTACTGCGTTGTTTGGTTTCGTAATTATTGTTATTATCTTTTGTTTGTGCCCGTGAACAACTTTTCTACTAGAAATCTTGCTCCGGCGTTTAGAGTGTAACGATTTTGCTGAAATGTGATTTTGTCCAGTTAAACGTCGATTTTTGATTTTCTTATGGGTTTTCGAAATTATTGGGAAAAATCCGTACGAAAATTATGGGCGTAACGACAAATAGTTCCAGCGCGCCACGGCCGCGGCGTTACCGATTTCATTATTTTAAATTTGTATACCTATTTTCTACCAGAAATATTGCTCCGATCAAAAAATGACTAGAGGTCGATTTTGTTACTTATCACACACGACGTTTATCGAAGAAAGTCGTTTTTAGACACTTAAAGAATTTTTGATAATAATTTAGAAAAACCAAAAAAAAAAAAAAACGATTTTTTTTTCAAATTATTGTGCAACGATTTCATTGTTTAATAATTGAGCAAAAAAATAATGCATTTATTATTTTCATTATAGTTTTTTTTTTATGATCCAATTAAACGTATTCGCAAAGACTTGCATTTCGGACAGATAACCGTCATTTACATTTTCCGGAAGAAAATATTAGGCACTATTTGTTATTTATCGTAAAACTATAAATCGAATAGTTTTAGACATCGTTATGGTACCGTACTAGTAACTCGTAGCTCTCTGCTTTCACTAACGCAATCGCACATTACGCGCCGCCGACGGCGGTCAAGGAACAGACTGGTTCGCGTTACTTAGAACGTTGGGTCTACTGCTCTTCATATTCATTGTGAAATGCACGGCGTTTCGTGCCGAACCGCCGATTCCGCGGAGTATGCCCGCCCCTCGAACAAGCCGCCGCGACGGTCGTCACAACTTAATGCGCGCGCCGCTGGTCCGTTACGCGTACGTACGTAACGCGTAACCGGAGCGCGGCGAGAGGAAAAAAAGAAGAAAAAACGGTCGGTATTTAATTCGCACGTACGTCCCCGTGCTCGGGATTAAAGCGATTATTACCGTCGGTTCACGGCACAATCGTGCGTTTCGATCGCGTCGGTTTCGCGTTGAACGGGAACCGCGTATCGGTTCCTGCGGGTCTTGTTAACCTGCGACGGCGCGGCAACCCGTCGTCACTCCGGCCGGGTGAAATTTTAACGGACGCGTCCCGGAACGAACCGGACGGCCGAACCGCTTATGCGCCGCGCCCGGAGCCGCCCGCGGGTCGCGGGGCAAAAACGCGGCGGTCGCCCCGCGTGTATGCGCACCGCCGTCGCACGCGGGCACGGTTTTAGCCTTTTCGGTCGGCCGCGCCGCGTTAATGTTATTGACGAGCGGCCGCGAGACGGCGTCGGCGGTCGGAAATGTAAAACGCATTGCATTTGTCGGGAGGACGAGAAAAAAACGAGAAAAAAAAAAAAAACCGTTAAAAACGCGTACACGGTCGGGCCCGCTATCTCCGGGGCCCATCGCGCGCGGTCGTCGGAAGAAGAACAGAGAGAGAGAGAGAGAGAGAGAGAGAAAAACACGAAATTAATAATAACGTGCACATTTTATTATTGTTGTTGCGACGCGGTCGTAATAATCGTAATTATTCAGCTGTTGCGCGCCGTCGTGCGCGGCGCGCGACGTAACGAAACGCGAGTTCTTCCGCGCGAACAAACCGAACGGTGGGGACGGGGGGGNGGGGGGGGGGGGGGGGGGGGGGGGGTAGCGGGGACGGGCTGAACGTCGAACGTTACGGCGTGATCGCCGGTTAAAGGACCGAGAAAAAAAAAAAAAAACGGATTGACGAATATAATTCGAGTACCGGAAAAAAAGTTTTAAATTTTCGAATAAAAAGGTAATCGATTATTACGCGGGGGAAAGAGAAAAAAAATAGAAAAAAACGTATTACGGTTCATGTCCCGACGCCGGCGCGCTTCGACGCTTTCGCGACTTTTGACGCGCGCGCGTCAAAATTCAGTTCTACTCGAATTGTACAGCGACGGGAGCACGGCGGTAAGCTATTCGTGGAGGGCGCGCGGGGCGACCGATTCGGCGGCGAAAAAAAAAAATCCACCGGGCGTCCGTTGTCCCGGCGGTCACGCAAAACGTAATTTCGCGGGGTCTCCGTCGGAGGGACTCAAATTTTCTTCGGGCCCGTCGCGACGCGTTTCGCGTTTCGGTCGAACGAACGCCGTGGCCACCTGGTAAATATACGGAAATGAACGTTTTTTTTTTTTTTTGTCGTATTTTTTTTTTTTCTCCTCCGCCGGATAATAACAAACGAGATTTACGGCGGACGGGCGAACGAGAAGACCGCGGCGGCGGGGTACGCGTTTTTCCATTTCGTGTTTCGATACGCGCGCCGCCGACACACACACACACACACACACACACACACACACCGGTTGAGTAGGCGGCCGGTAACCGTCGCCGCCGCCGCGGTCACCGCCGCCGCCGACGCCGCCCCCACCCCCCATCCCCCGTACCGCGGGCACCGCCGCCGCCGCCACAATCGTCGTCATCGCCGTCATCGTCGTCATTATATTATCGCCGTCATCGTCTCTATTGTTGTCGGTCCGTGCGTACCGTACGCATTCGCCCGGTCCCCGCCGAAGACGTCGCGATGCGGCGGTGCGTGCGTGCGCGTGTGACTCGGACGACAAGGGTACGTGATATGTACAGGGTGATTGTTTTCCAAATCAACACAACGAGTCGACACGAGCGCAATTGCACGCTGTCGCGAGTGACGCGAGACCTACCGCGGGAGATAACAGAGCCGATAACAGTTTTTAAACCGTGGGTACGCGGAACGGCATCCGAGGGCATTTCGACGAGTGTTGAATACGTGTTCGTCGACGGTCGACGCAGATTTGTCGAAATCGACACACTGATATAGTTGTTTTTTTTTTCTAACATTTCGACCAACAACGTTAACGTCGGATTTACCGTTTTGCGCGTAATACAATAATTACGACGCGTTGAGAACTCGGACCGGGAATGACGAGAAAATTCGTCGTTATCGTTTTCGTTTTTCGATCGCCGTAGAAGTATCGACGAAATCCCCCGACTCTTGTCCCGCGGCGCGCGTCCTGTTTCAACGGTCGCACCGACTTTTGATTTTCGAATAACGACCCGCGTCGTTTAAACCCGTCCGCGTGAAAAAGAGAATGTTTTTCACCGGAACGTTTCGCGCGCGCGACGCATTTTAGAAACAGAAAAATAAAAGAAAAAAAAAAATCACACCGCAATGTTATTGGTTCGGTTCGAAAAAAAGGAACGGCCGCCGCGACGCGATTTCTGCGCGGACGTGATTCGTCGCGGTCCGCAATGAAATGGTACACCCTGTAAAACACGACGTCACGGACCGACGGGAATGCGGTCGTCAGGTAGGGCAACCGGTGCGTGTGGAGTTCCTGTTGCGGACGGCGCGACGCGGCGGTGGGAGAAAGAGAGGGGCAAAAAAAAAAAAACGTTGGAAGCGTACGACGCGAGCGCCGGCCCGTCAGTTCACCGTTTAGTACCGGTTTTGCGATCGCGTCGTTTGCGTTCTCGATTGTATTTTTTTTTTTATTTTAAATTTATATTTCATTCGTCCGCGCGCTCGGTGCAGTGTACGCCGTGCCCGTGCCGTTTACGATGCGCCGTTGAGTGATATATTTTTATTTTATTATTTTTTTTTTTTTCTTTTCTATTCCTCCTCGAAACTTTCTTATCCGCGCGGCGAAATCGAGTGCGACCGAATCGCGAACCGTCGTGAACTGCGTGCGAAGTGATATCGTTGCGGACTATTGTCATTTTTCCCGGGCGCGTGTACATTTTTTTTTTTTTGTTCCCCGCCGCGAAAATGCGGCGGCCCTCCNTTTTTTTTTTTTGTCCCCCGCCGCGAAAATGCGGCGGCCCTCCGGCAGTGCGACGGTCCGTCTCTGCGCGTCGCTTTTGGCGACGGTCCTGCTGCTGCTACCGTCCGTCCTGTCCTACGACGCGTGCCCGTCCGTGTGCTCGTGCAAATGGAAAGGCGGCAAACGGACGGTCGAGTGCGCGGACCGGGCGCTCATCACCGTGCCGACGGGCGTCGACGCGGACACCCAGGTGCTGGACTTGTCCGGCAACAATCTGCAGATATTGCCGAACGAGACGTTCTTCCGGGCCGGGTTGGTGAACCTGCAAAAGGTGTACTTGCACAAGTGCCGCATTGGCCAGATCGACGAGACGGCGTTCCGCGGTCTCACCAACCTGGTCGAGTTGGACCTGTCCGACAACCTGCTGACGTCCGTGCCGTCGTACGTGTTCCGCGACATTCCGTTCTTGCGCGACCTGTCCGTCGCCTCCAACCCCATACAAAAGATCGAGGCGCGCGCGTTTTTCGATTGCCCCGGCGTGGTCAAGGTGGACGCCTCCAACTGCGGCCTGCAGTCCGTGGCCGGCGAGGCGTTCGACGGCGTGACCCGGCTGGAGACGCTCCGGATCAACGGCAACCGGTTGACCGAGTTGCCGGCCGCCCTGCTCCGAGCCCTCAACAAGCTCCGGACCATCGAACTGCACGACAACCAGTGGGTGTGCGACTGCCGCTTGCGCCCCATGAAACTCTGGCTGTCCAACAACAACGTGCCGTACAGCCAGCCGGCACTGTGCACCGGCGGTCCGGAACGGCTGTCCGGAAAGCAGTTGACGGACCTGGACGTGGAGGATTTCGACTGCCGGCCGGAAGTGCGCGCCGAGTCGCGGTACGTGGAGGTGACCGAGGGCGAGAACGCGACCGTCCGGTGTAGGGTGGAGCCGGGCTCGATGGCGCACATCGCGTGGTACCTGAACGGCCGCCGATTGCAGGGGGCCGGGACGCCCGCCATCGGTTATCCGGGCGCGTCGTCCGCGAACCCGCGGATGTTCGTGGTGGACGGTATGGACGACGCGGACGGCGGCCGGCGCAGCGAAATGACGCTGACGGACGTGCGGCGCGAGGACGCGGGCCAGTACTCGTGCCTGGCCGAAAACCGGGCCGGCAACTCGGAAGCCAATTTCACGGTGTACGTGCTGGAGAAACCGTCGGCGATCGCCACTTTCGGGTCGGCGCACGTCACCGGCGTGGCCGCCGCGATGGCCGCGCTGATCGTGTTCATTTTGGGATTGATCGCGTGGACGGTGATCCGGATCCGCCGGTCCGGTTATCCCGCGGACACCAAGCCGACGACGGAATCGGTCAATCGCAAACCCAACGGCACGTCGATGGCGATGAACGGCGCCGGCGGCGGCGGTTACATGAACGGCGGGATCATAGCCGGCGGCGGGAAAACCAACCCGGCGTTGGACATATCGTCCGTGATCGAACGCAATTACGACCCCGACCTGGAACCCGGCCCCGGGCCCGTGACTCCCACGGGATCGTATCACGTGGCCGGATTGGACCTGATACACGACCACGACGCTTCCCGGTTGGAAATGTGCGATTCCCCGATGTCGTCGACCGCGAAACCGCCCCCGTCGTATTACAGCGGCGGCGGCGGCGGCAGGGCCGCCGGACCCGGGGGGAACGTGCGGCCGTACGACGACCGGACGCCCATCATCGGAACGGGGAGCGCCGGCGACGCGTACAGCGTGGGCACGGGATCCGACGAGGTTTTCTCGTACAACAGCCAACAGCAATTGCACTACGGCGGCGGCGGCGGCGGGCACTACGCGCCCCAACAGCAGCACGCGGTCGGCGGCGGCGGCGGCAGCGTCGGCGGCGGCGGTAGCGTCGTCAGCGATTATCCGGCCGACTACGGTCTTCCGATCTTACCGCCCCAGGGTCACCATCACTCTTCGACCAACGTGTCACAGCACCACCAGTTCCACCCTCAGCAACACGGCCAGCAGCCGCAGCAGCAACAGCAGTATTACAACCCGCAGCAGCAGCATCACCAGCAGCACCAGCAGCATCATCATCAACAGGACGACGAGGGGATGATGACGTTACAACACCACCAGCCGTCGGTGAAAACCCTCCGGGTGTGGCAGCGGGGCGTACCGGTGTTGCCCACCACGCCGTCCCTGCAAAGGTTCGCCAACAGGACTTCGCCCACGACGCCCGGTACCGACGTCTGAACAACCGAGCGTACCTGCGCGTGGCGGCCAGTAGGTTTTTCCCCCCTCCTCCACCCCGAGACTTATTACGTTAGGTATTGATAATATTATCGTAATTATTTTAGGAGTTATTATTTATTTTTATAATTTTTTTTTCTCTTCCGTGTTACTTTTTTTTCTCTTTTTTTTTTTCCGTGCGCGTTCCATTTTACGTCTCACTGCTGTAAAATGTGTAATGGTAATATTTACTACGGCGGGGCTCGGGACTCAATGCGGTTAAAATGCGTTTTTATTATAAATAAAAAAAAAAAAGAAAAAAAAAAATGTGGATATGTCTGTGTGGTCCAATAGACGAACCGAATTTCCGAATTTCCCACTTTCAAGCACTGTCGAATTCCCCTACGGCCATTTTCGTTATTAACGATCCGTCCGCGACGGGCCGACGGTCCGCTTGAACTCTAATGAGTGGCCGATCGTTCGGGAACCCAACGGGCAAACAGTAGAACGGTCCGGCGTTAGACCCCTGCCGTCGGGATTTCTGAAATTCGGGGTCCGCGGATCTAAACGATCAATGACGGTGGACTCTCCGACGGTCGGCGTGTACACACTACAACAGTATCCCACTGTTCAACGCGAGAAGAAGTCCGCAAGACGTGATAATCTAATGCCACGGAGAACCTGGGAGGAAGACGAACTCCTGCCGAAAACGCAGGGCGTTATAAATAAAGCGGATTTGTACGAAAAAAAAAAGTACGATAAAAAACGACTTTGAAAACCCTTGGTAAATGTACGAAAAATTTTGGAAATCCTTCAGATCGCTAAACACACATTTCGGTATAAATTTGATATTTTGGTAGTATTTTCCATTTTGTTTTATCACGCAAAAGCATGCAAATAACTCGACGCATTGTTCTTCGAGTTAGGGGGACTATTTAAAACACCTCTATCGTTTTTTTGGATTTTTACAGCGCTTTTTTCAATGGTTTATTTTTTACGGGTTTTAAGCGCACAAAGCCCCGAGCCCCGATCGTTAGCGTTTTAGGTACGCGTTTCCGAGTGCGTATTACGATGTATCGGTAACGTCATTGAAAATACGCCCCCGCGTGCGTGCGAGTCGCGAACCGCGCGTTTTCCGCCGTCCGTTTTTCATTAAAACCGCGCGATGACGTGCCCGCAGAACGGGGAAGGCGCGAAAAAAAAAAGCCGACGGATTCGTTTACCGCGCTTGCGGTTTTTTCCAGATTCGAATAAAAATAGACAACGCGCATTCTGGTGTTACGTTAACATTGTAATCATTATTGGGGTCCGGGACTTGTTGCACGTGAAATCCACGAAAAAATCACATTGAAAACGTCGAGAAACCCGCGGAAAAAATTATTTAAAAAACCAAAAACGGGGTGGAAGAGTTCAGAAATCCGTCCCCGGCTCCTTCTGACGGCTCTAACCTATTGACTACGGTTTCCCGACATTAGAAAAACGGTCAGCGCGAGTAGATTTTTGTTTTTTGTTTTCTAAACGAGTACGATTTCATTTAAACAGTTTTCTTTGTCGACGTTTTTTAAACGCTTTTTTTTTTCGTGGATTTCAATCGCGCGATTAGTCCCGAGCCCTGATTATTGTTTGTCGGGAGAGCGCGCCGCGAAAATCGACGAAATTCGACGACACCCATTGGCGGGGTCGCGTACACCCTGTATCGTACGGCCGCAAAAAACGTCGTTTGTTGCGCTCGGGTTTTTTTTTTTTTTTCAACCATCAAATTTCAGTGTTACGTCGATTTTCGCGGCCATTTTGCGCGGAACGCCAATACGACTCGGCGGGCCGATATTTTCTCGATTTTCGAAACAAACGGAAAAAAAATGCGAACAAAGAAGACATTAAAAAACAAAAAAAAAAAAAAAAACCCCGCGGCCGTGAGATCTCATTCGTTCCGGAAAAAACGCGTCGCGCCCCGATGTTCCTATATATCCTTATACGCGTACTCGCGCGTGTATTTTTTAAGGTTTTTTTTTTCACAAGTACTCTGCAAAACGTGTACGGGAAAAAGAAAAAAACGTAACGATATCATATCGGATATTCGTGTGTTGTAATATAATTATTGTTTCCCCACGCCCCCACCCCCCACCCCGAAATATGGCTGTGATGATGCGGTTTTTTCGTCGTTTTTTTTTTTTTTTTCGCGTTCCCTCCCCCCTCCCCCCCGAGACGGCCCAAAGAAAACCTTCTCTTTCCTCACTCCTCTCCCCCCCTCCTCCCTTCCAGTGTAAATTATTCCTTTTTGTAAAAATTATTATAACGTTTAAAGAGGAAAAAAAAACCGCGAAAAACACAAAAAAAAAAGCAGACCCGACGGTAGAAACAAACTATGGAAACGATAGTATTATTATTATAGCCAGGAGGCGCCCCACACGACGGATAGCCGCAGTACCAAATCAAACATTATGTTATTAATAAATCTATTTGTATTGTTTTTTTTTTTTTTTTTTTTTCATTTTGTAATTTTATTATTATTATTATTATTTTATTTTTTTTTTTTTTTATAAATTATAATAATTTGTTGTTGTTGCTGTTCGACTTTATTGCGTGTACATTGAATTGTAAAGTGTACGATAATTATTATAATTATAATATTATGTGTAAAGACAAAAATAAAAAAAAAAAAATATAGAGATTTATTATTTATTTTTTCACGATGTAAATAGAAAAAAATTATAGGTTATTTAAATTTTTTTTTTTTTTTAAATATTATTAAGATTCTATTTATTATATTGTATTGTAACGAGTACGAAGTTTTCAAATATAAGATTATTATAATTATTTTTTCATAAAAAAAAAAAAAAAAAAAAAGGAATTGTTGTTTTTGTTTGTGGCACTGTTTCGAAAATCACGAGGAGGGTACGTTCTCGTATTCGCATAAAAAAGAAATACGACCAGAAAACGGAAAACCGGATGCCGTCCGTTATCGCCGTTTTGTCGTCGGTGTTACGGGCTCCGGGTCATTATTTGTTTCTGCTTTTTTTTTTTTGAACATTTTGCAGATATCATTGAACCGCTAGCTAACGGGTCAGTGATAAACGGAGCGCGCGTTCTCCCGTTCTCCCATCTTCCGCTTCCTCGGGAATCGGTCCGCGAATGTCTACACTGGTTTGCCGATCGCGTCTGGTGCACGGCGGGCGACCGGCGCGAAAAGTTCAAAGCGTTCAAACACCGGGGACGTGTTGGTTTTCTATACGGTTCCGGGCGGTCATCGTCGGGCGTTTTTCGTTAAACGGACAACAAACGGTCGTCACGGAAACCCGCCAATCCGACGATTGATTGGGATATGATTGGGTTTTCGGAAACCCGATCGCCCCGATTGACGCGGCGTAGTTACCGGGTCGATTCCGGTTTCGGAGCGCTCCGACGGACGGGACAACAAACAGAAACGGGAAACGGACCGGTAAAACGTGCGTTGTGTCAGTACCACACCCCGGAATAACAAAACGAATCGTTTTCGAGGGGAAGGTTTATGGGGTGGGGGGGCGGAACCCCGAAAGAATATCGGCTAGACTTCAGCGGGGGGAACGTTGAAAAAGCCCGACGGCACACGAGTCGAAAACGGCATTCGACTTTGGTCTCTTTTCGACCCGCCGCCGTTCAACGCGCAACTAGGATTACGCGATTCGGGCGGCCTGATCGTCGCCGACATTATTCTTGGGCGGCCGACGTTCACTTCCCTTCGGGCCACCGCCGCCCCCCTCCCCCCCCCTCCCGACGGGTCGCTCACGTTTAGTTCGCGAGTGCGTACGTTTACGTTGTGCGCGATGTAATTTCGGAGAGTCTTCGACGACGCTACTCTTTCGCGATGGTTCGCTTATTGACTTTTGGCATTCAAATGATTCGAGCCTCGGGCGTTGTTACGACCGCACAACGGGGGTGGGTGGCCTGTGAATATTTCGGGTGGCCCTAGCCGCCCCTCGGTCACGCGCCCGGTTCAACGCCTGTCGCGGCCTCGGATTATTCCGCGGCACCGGAAAAAGAGTGTAAAAAAAAAAAAAACCACAAACGAACCACGTCTCGTCTAACAGTAATACGTTATAGTTGTTTTTTTTTTCTTCTTCTTCTTTTCACGATTATTATTTATTTATTTTTTTTTCCGTGCGGCGGCGGTTCTCCTTGACACGTGAAAGTTCGGATGATGCGCGGGAGAGTGAGACGCTCGTCCGCCGTGATTATCCGGCCGTTACGATACGGTTTTGCGCCCGCGACGACCGCCGTACGCGGGAGATCGGTCGTTTCCCCGCTTGCCGGCGTTACTGCACGGCGCGTACACACGGGTAGTGTGTCCGTTTTCCCCGTTTCCCGCGCCCGGAGAAAAACGAATTTCGATCGCGGGCACCGCGCACAACGTCAATATGGTTCGGATATTCTCGGCCGTGCCGTACGCGCGGCCGGAGACGAATGAGTGTGTGCGACGCGACGGCGGAAAAAAAAAAAAATTATACGCGACAAAGAGCCGTCGACGGCGGCGTCGGCGGCGGAAAGGGGAGGAGGGAGGGGTAGAAAAAAAATCGTACGCCGAAATCCGAACGGTTACGGACAGGTAGGTACGCCGCGCGTCACGGAAAACGGCATTGCCCCCCACCCCCGCCCGACGCGAGCCCGCCGCCGACCGCGCCGTATTTCCGAAGCCGCGCAATGACAGTAGAGTAAAAAAAAAAAAATCAAATCCGAGTACACGTAAGAAAAAAAAAAAAAAAAGAACCGAAAAATTACACGCGTACACGCGGGAGGAAGACTCACGGGTTTTTTTTTTTTTTCTACTTATTCTTCGGCCCGTTCACGATTCCTCCCCCCGCTCCACGACCGCCGACAATCGTCACCCCCCCCACTCGTCCCGTGTACTAACACGGCTAACCTCGCCGCCACCTGGTCGCCGATTATCCGAAATCTAATCGCGGTCGGCGTCGGACGCACGTTTCTCTCGAGACTCGCCCCCGCC